TCATTCCCCTGCACCAACGTTTTGTGATTCTAAAACATTTTTTTAGGGTGAAGGTATTTTTGAGGAATGGGAAAAGCAGAGATCAAGGGATGTAAAGGGGATAGTAAAGGAGGAGTAAGAGCTCAGTGTAGCTGGGGAAATTGGCATCTCAAARTCTGCTTTTGCTAAACATCTTCCTGGGATGGAGCCTTCTCAAGGGCAAACAGCACTGGTGAATCCACTGACCTGCCAGCAGCTCTGGCCTGGGGTGATGAGAGAGCCTGAAATCCCAGTTCTTCTGCACAGGCAGCAAGAGCCACACGCCCAGCAGCTCATTTCAGCCCCCAAAGTGGCACAGCCTGGTCAGCACAGCGCTATAATTCRTTATTAGGGTGGACTAATGAACCTTTCCTGATGGCAGCCCTGTTCTGCACATTCCAGAGCCATTGTCAGCTCTCCATAGTGCAGAATCATCCTACTGCAAAAAACCAAACCTGAAAAGCCAACACTTAGGAAGTCCTGGATGGGCACCCCCATACTGCATTTGAGCATTATTTCCACATGCTGCAGTGTTTTGCTAAGCCCTTCTGCTCATTTCCAAGAGGATCTCACGGGGTTTAGGAATTAGCCTGGGGCATGGGAAAGTTGAGCTTCATTCCTTGATCTGCCACAGAAACCCCAAGTGCCACTGGGCATATCACTCAGCACCTCCACTTGGGTCTCCTAACTGTAAAATCGGGGTAGGAACCCTGTGAGGGTGTTGGCAAGAAGATAAAACATATTAACCATCTGGGAGGTGCTGCGATGCTGTGATAAGAGGGGCCACGCAAGAAACTTGGATAAACAGTTTCAAAACTCTCAGCTTTTCGGTGCTTTCTCTTCTGCACCGGGCAGGCTCTGTGATTTCACACAGCCACCTTCATTCCTGTTTGCTCACAGCTTCCTGAGCGTCAAAGCTCCCCAGCCCAAATCACACAAATTCCCTCAAATTGTTGTGATCTTTACAGTTTGCAACCCATGTTTTCAAGGGGGTGAGCAGAAATCCCCACAGTGCTTTGACACCCAAGGATGTGAGGGTTTACACTTTGAGCATGAGAACCTCTGTGTCATTTCCCACTCAGATCTCACTGAGCCAAACCTTCACCCTCAGAGCACGTCACCAAGTCAGGAATTTTCCAGAAATGCTGCMTCTCAAATGTCTGCGAGCTCTGGTTTGTCCACCGGCGCTCCAGTGGAGATTTTAGGAGCATGAGGGCGTATTAAAGATAAATCATTCCCCAAAAGCCCGAGAAAAAGAAACCAAATCCTGTAAATACTTTCTAGGATCAGTGGCTGAAGCTTTCAAAGACAGTGGAGAGCTACGAGGTGACATGAAGTCACTGCAGGAAGATGTAAACAACCCATGAAAAAAACATTGCATTTCAAAAGATAGGGCACTTCTAAGGCCACAGCATTCTAAACGGAATTATCTGATGCCAGCACTGTTTATTTGGTGTCTGAGGTCTCACATGTAGGGCAGCCACAGCTTATCAGGAGAAAAGTTGTCACCTATTTAGAGAAAAGCTTTAAGCTAACAAATTCTTGCRCTCTCCAGATACCAACCACATGTGAGGACGGGGCTGACCATGCTCATTTTCCACTCGGGAGAACATTTACCAGCACCACCAGCTCCTTCCTCAGGATAAATGCCACTCAGGCTTCACAGGGGAGGAAGAGGTGAGCTAAGCGGGATCCTGACATCAGTATTCCAGCTACATCCACTGCGCTTATACATCTAAACACTTAATAGGCTGAGCAACTTCAAAGCAACACATTACCTGCTGAATTAACCCCCACTTCCACCCTATTAGAGGATGCTTAGCAGAATAAGAAGCTTTCAGCAGTTCCGTTGTCATGCACACTGGGATACTTGCAGAAAAAAAAAAAAAAAACCACGGCAAGAAAATGGTGTGAGTGATTTTTTTAGTGTCCGAAATGACATTGCCCATGGGTCAGTGTCGTTCTGCTGGTTCCGATGACGTGAAAAACCCTTCTGGTCCTTTGAGAGCCTGTGAATTACAGTTAAACGGGTCCTAATAGCTTGTTGCTTGACATTTCCTACGGAATTGTGGTGACACACGAAGAGTGGAAGAGTCGACTCATGTTGTGTTGCTCAGCATTTACCCCGTGCCAGCCGGGGGCATGCTCAGATAATTCTGTSTAAGTAGCTACAAAAGCAGCAGAAGTCGGGAGAAAAGGCTCCCGCGAAATTTGGCACCGTTCCAGCTCGCCAGCTAAATGATTCCATCTGATATTCAAAACAGGCAGGTGGAAAATTATCCAGAGACACACCATCGTGTTCTGCCTGAGCAAATGCAAGAGGGACTCAAATACCACTTTGGACAGTAAGTCAATTGAAATCTAAGTGTTTTCCTATCGATTCACCATTTTTTTTTCTTGCAAAGTGCACATGCTGTTTAGCTGTGGAAGACACCTGTGCGTCTGAGGGCTTGGAAAGGGGTGTTAATTTAGGTTTTCCTCCTCACTCAGTGGGATTTAAAGGGAGTCCAGCTTGTTTTGCCGTGCCAGCCTGTCATTTTATTCCACCTGGCCTTCCGTGCAAATAAAATCACCCAGTGGGTTTGCAAGGTCTGCTCACAACAGTTATAACAAATTACCCAGAGAAGCCATGGTGAKGCTAAGCAGAGGATGCTCAGAGCTGTATCTCACCTGACACCCAAAAAATGACCACACTACAAACCCTGATCCCAGAGGTCACCTCCTCCTGCAGCAGGATGGGTTTTCCCAACACATCCAACACAGCCCTTGCACAGAGTGACCTCCAGACTCAACACACCATCAGCCTCMCAGCTTGCACAGAGCCAGGGGTCGTGTCAGTGCTTCTGACACTGCAGCGTCCATTAGAAAGATGTATTAGGCTTTATTGTAAACAAACAGGCTKTGGTACAAGGAGCCCTGTTTCAATTACTTAAGCCCTAATGCCAAACTTGCCCCGTTTCAGAGGCAAGATAATACAGCACTGACAAAGTATATTATCCTTGCTTTTCAGTAGCCTCAGATAAGTATCACTATGTCACCGTGAAAAAATGCGCTCAATTATCCTACGTTGTTATTACTTAATCTGTGTTTCAAAAAAAAAAAAAAAAAAAAAAAAAAAAGCTTTAGACTGAAAAGATGTTAGATAAAGGCTAAGTATTGCAGATAAAGGCATTGCTTCACTGAATATGTGCTGCAAAAGCATGAGCTGTGGTTCCACACATTTAAATGAAGCAGGCTCCTCTCAGCACGTTCCTCTGCTGGCAGAGTCACAGCCACTGGTGGCTGCTTGCACAAGAAGRTGGTTTGGAGCCCCAAGAGCAAAATGTGGAGGGACACTGGGGAAGGAGCCTGCTCCACGTCAGGGAGAGCCTTTACAAAGACTTCCAGAAGGTTTGGTATGAATCTCCTCCCCACCTCATGGAGAYTGGCTCCCTGCTGTAAATGGCACAATGGAAGGGGTCGACCCAACCTGAGGCTTTCTCAGATGGACAAAGGAGCTTYATTCAGAWGACCCTRGCCACCAGATTGTCATTCTCCACAMARTGACTGGTGAGAGRCAGCARSACTCTGGATACCTGTGTTTGGATTCCAGCTGCAACCCCGTGTCAGTGCTGTGTACTTTAATGGTCCCAGAAAAATGAGCCCAGCACTCTGAATCRACGACAAATTGATTGAAACCAGATGTTGTGAAAAAAAACCTTTTCCAAGTTCAATGGCACATGAATGGTCTCAGCCTGCCCCTGGATAATCTGACTTCTGTGCCCCAGTCTGCCACAATAAACTAATTGGGAGGTTAATATTTTGTCTCTGTGCTGTAAACTCCTTGGGGAAAGGAGCTTTTTAATTGCATACACAGCCCATGACCTGGTAGGCTCTAAATCTCATGGGGTGATGTGCAGAGTTAGAGTGGGACCACAGCTGAACACCCTGAGCTCATGTTACTGTCTGGATTAGCAAAACTCCAGACTATTACACCGTCTGCAGTCTTCAGGCATTGCTGGGGGTTTGGTTTCCCCACTGAGCTAAGCTCTTTTTTTGGCGTAGTCAAAAAGAAGACAAACAAAACGCTGCAGGTACAAAGGCAYGGGAGGAAAAGCAGCACCAAGCTGTTGTTTGGCCACGCCAGCAGATGCAAGGTGGCAATATTGGCTTKGTAGGAGAGCAGAGGTGGCCAGAGCCTGCACGCCCAGCTCTCACCGCTTTGCAGACCTCATCATAACAGATATATTTACACTGGGTACGCCTAATTAACACACCCTGCCAGACCCAGGCTTCCACTCTACTCTTCCTCAGCCTCTTCATGCAGAGCAAGACCCCAGTTTGCTCAGCTTGTGCTCCCCAAGGCAGATAAAAATGACCTCAAAAGCTAAGCTTGATTCATGGACTGCCATCAGAGGGTCCCTGGGAGGGTGACTGATTGATCCTGTTTACCTTTGGCACAGCWAGGCATTTAACATCAGGTTGGGAGAAGCTTTGTAGTTGTTATTCTAATGGGCTTCAAGACAGAACTATTTGTTTTGGAGMGTGATAAGACTTTTCAGACCACTGGCTCCCCGGGCAAGGCTCTGAAAGTCTATCACAGCACGTGTGAAAACACAGCACTAAACATGCTCTGCAGAGCTTTACTGAAAAAAACTRTTCCTGTTATATTTCCTTGTCAAAATTACAAAAAACCCAACATATCCTACAGCGTTCAGCTCACGTCTTTCCCAAAACTGGGGAAAGAAGCCTGCAGCTGAGGTATGGCAGAGAAAAGGTTGGGAGCAGACTCTCCTGGTGACTAATGCAGCCGAGATAAGCATCTAGATGCTCGCTAAAACATACAGTATCACACGCAGATTAAAGGCTCCTTCCGAGATTTTGCAAGCAGCCAGTAACTCCTACCCGGCCATCTGCCCAGAGAGGGCCTCTGACTTGTCAACCAATCCATTTCCCCCAGTGCCACGGGCTGGGTGATACCGATCTCTGCTGTGTTTTCTTACCAGAGCTTTGATGTACAATCTCTTCCGCAGCAGAGGCAGCCCCCTTTAGGGAACAAAGCCTGGCTCTAGCCAGGCTCCTCACCAGTTGTCCAGGTATTAGGTTCTTTTTTCCAGCTTCAGGGCAGCCCTGTCACTAACCTTTTCCACTGACCTGTCAGAGGGAACCTTCTGCTCATGGCCATCTGTGTCCTCCCCCTTTTCTTTTAAAGCATTCACCTGAGCGTTTGCAGCAAGCAATTACACACACAMACACACTGGTTTGCATCAGTCATAAAAGTTGTGAGCCTCCAATTAACCACCTCATGCCTTTTAATGATACAACGCTGAACAAGGAAGAGAATGAGAGGGAACATTCTCAGAAGTGGTTTGCAGCAGGACAGAGATGTCTTTATTGTTGTTTGTATGAGGGCAGCACTTGGGAAACTCAGCTAGAGGCTGTGGAAACAAATGGAGAACCTGRGAAATTAATTTAATATGGAGAACTTATAGTCTGCAGGACAAGGCAGAGCAGGTGGGTGACGTGTAGTGTGATGAGAACACAATGATTTTTTAAGGATCAGAATAACCTGTCAGCATCCTTTACTCAYCACTGCTAAATTGCTGTGTCCTCCCTCCTCGACACCACTCCAAGAGTGTGAATGCTGGCAGAGGGCTCAGCAGCAAAGGCAAGTGTGCCTCTGACTCCCAAAGCCCCAAGCTGGAAGCACAGGGCAATGCCTTGTCTCTGTCTTCAAAAGATAGCTGGAGATACTGCACCTGCTCGGAAGGTTTCAGGCAAAACAGCATTTCAGAGGAATTCACCAATTCAGCAAAATCTCAGCAAGGTGAGTCAATTTTGCYCAGGTTCCCATGAAACTTGCACAGGGCTCCAAACATCAGAAACCTGCTGAGTTTCCTGCCTGGTCACCCATCTGGTTCCTCCACCGTTCAGGTTTCCAGGGCCCTGGGGCAGCCTGCTGCCAAACWGGCTGCTTAGCAAGAGGGGATTTCACTGCTCACACTTCTCAGCTCGGGGTGTCCTGGGTGTGAGACCACCTCAGRCAGGAAGCACTAGAGCATCCGCAGATGGAGAGCCCATAAACCCAGCAGAGAAGCTCAAAAATCCAGGAATCAGCTCTTGAGACAACTCACAGTGTGAGCTGCTACACTATTCCATTCTGCTGAATTTCTACCTGGTTGTGTTCTGCTCTATTTTGGCAGGAATTCAGCCTAATTTCATCAAAATGAAGTTTTTTCCCAAACCGTAATCTTCTATATAAGCCCATTGCTAGCAGACACCCTCACAGGACAGCTCATTTTCCTCTCAACAGCAGCCTCTGCACATCAGCCCAGTTCCAGCTGCTCTCAGGTCAGGGGCAGAGAGTTGCACATCCTGTACAGCCCACCAGGAACACGGCAGGGATATACAAATCAGCCAAATCTAAATTATCTGCTCTGGAAGACAGATGATATGAGCAATCTTACAGTCCCACGAGCTCGCCACAGGAGGAGAATGAGGCAAAATCTCTGTGTTTATCCATCAGCTTCTGGTCTAAATATTTGATCTGCCTGAGGACTGCACACCTGATATGGTGACTACAGAGTTGTGGGTTGGCCCTGGGGCTCAGAACACTTCATCAACCACAGACAAAGGAAATGGGGGRAAAGGAAGAGATTCACTTGGAAAAATCACTGCTTAAATGACATTTATTCTGTGATTTGCTAGAAAATAGGGGGGGACAGATTCTGGAAAGATTGAGATGAAGCAATACCAAAACAAAAGRCTCTGAAGGATACCTAAAGTAAATGAGACACATCTTGTTCTGCTCCAGGTAACACTGAACATTTCTCACTGCTCATGGACCAAGTGACAGCAGCAGCAGCCACTGTGCACAGGCAGCTTTGCTTACCCTGTTCAGGCACCAACAGACTCCACTGAGAGCCTGAATTTATCTATACCATGAGAAACATGTTTCCAGGAGCCTGCTGTTCCCAAGACATACCTGCAAGCACCAAGGCTCCTCCTTGGGATGCAGCCAGATGGGCTGTGAAAGCTGAGAGCTGCCGAGCACACCATGGGGAAGTTCTCCTGGGAAACATCTGTGGGAGACACTGACACCAGCTGAAGGGTTATGTGGGGCTCGAGCAACAAACCATCTGTCAAGAACTGCTTATTAGGATGTTTACTCACAAAATTGGCCTTTTCGTCAGTGCACCAGAAGTGCTTTCTGAAAGCAGCCCTGACCACCAAGAAAATGGCCTCAGGATGCATCAGCAGGACCAGGAGTGAATCCAACAGCCAGAGGAACCAATTTCTAGCACAGGGACATTTTGTCCATTTTGCCATCTCTTCTTGCTCTAGATYAGTGAATTATTTGGGGTTTTAGAACAATGAGGATTCTTTGGCAGGACAAAGTTGCTTCCTTGCCCCACGCAATAGATGGTAGGGATGGTCATTTTTTATTTTTTTTATTTATTTCTGTTTTTTGTCCATATTATGCTGCTTGTGTTGAGGAGCTAATAAATGGTGGGTACACAACAGAAAGAAAACCTAGTTCTCCACTTGCCTATTTTTGTTGTTGTTAAATATGAAATGAATTTTTAGTTTCATATTTCTGCAATGAATAATTACCATGTTCATGAGCCCAAGAAGCCTACCCAGGGTGACAGTGGGCATCTGCAATGGGCCCAGGGGAAGCCAGACACATGCTCTGAATCAAATGTCAGTGGCTCAGCAATAACAGCCTCTCTCAGGGCTTAGACCATCCTTCAAAGGCAGCAAGTCTCACCAAACATCAACACAGGAAAAAGAAAGCAGCAGGGACCACAGCAGAGGTTCCTATCTCCATGGCAGAGAAGGGGAGGGGAAAGAAAGGGAGCTCGTCATGTAACAGCAATAATAAACACTTCTGAGTGTGCTTCCTCTTCTCCCTGCAGGAGCATCTTCACCCTAAGCACTGGTGGGTTTCAGGTGGGATCAGTTACATCCAAACCTCTCAATGCCTCTAAGAGATATTCCTGTAAGAGAAAAATACTTTGGRGTGTGGATTGTGCAGCTACAGGGCTGCTGCAGGGTGTCCCACAGTGCTGAGGAGTGATGTGTTACCTCGATGTGTTTGCTGTTCTACACAAACCACTCAGAAGGCACCTGTTAAAAAAACATGGATATGTTGCAGATGAGAAGGGGATCATATCTCTTCCTTCCAAGCAACTGAACATCAAGGAAAACACTATCGTGAGGTGTTTGACAGGAGAAACAAGCCAGAACTTCACTTTCATTCAGCACTCAGGCTTTAATGCCAAGCCACAATTTATTTCATGAAGAAGAAAAAAAAAAAAAAGCAGTAAAGGAAACACTTACCAGGATGAACACACTGCTGTGGCCTGGGGGCAGGAAGGTGGCTTAAGCAAAGGCAGGGGTCAGGATATCCAGGTCAGTGGCCAACACTGCCSTTGACCTCACTGCCCACCAGGTGGGACGGCTGCTCGCCTGTGGCTCCTGTCTTGGCCTCTGCAAGCTGCTCCAACAGGATTCACAAACCTCTCTCTTATCAAACCTGATGGATTTCCTCTCCCACTCCTTTCCCAGCCCTTGCCCTGTTCTGGGAGATGCAGAGCATGATGCAGTGCTGAGGACTGACCTTATGTCTAGCACAAGAAGACCATCAATGTGCTTCTGCTTTCCAAGGCTCTGGATTTTTAGCAAACACCTACTCTTTCCTGAGTTCACCTTCCCGAGAGAAGAGCAACCTCAGGAAATCGTGTCAGTCAAGAGTCCAGGAAAGAAAACTGTAAYGTGATACAGGTCTAACCCACAGAAACGCTGGGAACGTCTCCTCTTACAGAGGGCCCTTCCAAAAGGAAACCAACCCACTGTAAATAATGTGTCTGAGAAGAGAAGGCAAACCTTTAACCATTCCCTTGCCTCTACTTCTTGCTCAGTTAAATTTTCAGCTTTCCTTTGAAGCCAGGCAAAGTTACCCTCTCTGCTTTCTAGTTCTGTTCTCTGGCTCTGGGTAGCYCAGAGATCCTGCTGTTTTGCTAATCCCACTGCCTGAAACTGGGATTAAAGTTGGATTAGCMAGGCAGATGAATGAGTGCTGCCCCAGACCCTCCAAACACATTTGGTGTTTGTGTCTCRCCCTCCCTGCCTGCCTCATTTTCCCAGCTCCACCTGGGCATCCAAGGGAAGGGAAGGGAGGAGATAGAGACAGGATTATTCTGTCTCTTCCCAAGTGCCATTCCCAGGRTTTACACAAAGTCCTGCTACTGATGCAGACCACAAACCACATTCACTCTTGTATACCTCAAAGTTTTTTTATCTCAGTGTCCTCAAATACAACAAAATTAATGTCTTCCTTTAAATACTCTCCTTGCTATTACTGCTTAAATCAAGGACTCAAGGTACTGCTTCTCCCAAATTCAGATTAACAGTTTGAATACAGGTTCACCATCCACAGTCTGGGCTTTTAAGGAAGAGCAGGGAGTTCCTCCCAACATGAGCCAAAAGAAGCCACTGTGGCAGCTCATACAAACAGGCATGGAACATTTGGAGAGCTCAGAGGCCTTGATCCACCAGCATTTCTGAGCACGTGCTTAATTCACCCCAAAGCGTGCACTGAGACGCTTCACTGAGCAAGAATGGGCTTAATCATGTGCTCAAACATTTACTGCATGAGCACTTCAGAGATTGAGATTGATTAGGTCCTTCTCCTACCTGTACCTCATACCTCCCCTCCTCACGAAAACCTCATTTCTGAAGGCACAAAGCTCATAAGGAGACACAGGGAACACATTTTTCAACAGGTTGCAAATTTTCCAGYTTCCTGCCCCTTGACCACAGAAGACTTGACCTTTTTCATGGGGGATAAAACAATTTATTTACAAAGTCTGATGGCATGAACCCCATAATGAGGTCAGAGTCCAAATCACACAAGTTTTCCTTTAGTGTTGTCAAGGAAGTCTTGGTTCTCAGGACTTAMAACTCCCTTAGAAAGAACAAAAGCCAGATTTTCAGAGCTTGGCTCAGTGAMATCGAGTTGTTAATGTTAATACACTTTATTGATCTTAAAGGAATACAGCATGGAAACAAAGGCCATTAATTGAGAGAGAGGCTCTGTTTACATTAACAAGTCATACAGCATGAAAGGAGCAGATCCAAACTCAGGTCCTCATAAACTGAGGTCCCCACAAGTACAATAAACAAAGTTCAAGAGTTTACTTCAGCCTAGACTTTGCCTGGTCCCCAGTGTCATTTGGACCAAGCTTGCCYGTGTTTTTTGACTGGAAGCCATTCCAGGCAGCCATCCCTGGGTCAGACCCCATATCCCTGCTCAGGTGGAAGCACWTTTGCTGTGCCCCTCATTTGGAGTGTCTGGGTCAGCATTCTACCAGGGCACACGAAAGCTGCTCTGCTGTCCCACCCAACCCTGGTCAAGTGGAGGTGACCATAGGACTCACTTCCAGACTGCTCTGTTGCTCCAAACCAAGGCACAAATGGAGACACAGGCAAATGGAGAGAAGAACTCCCCAAGGACAGTAAATTTGCAAGGCAAGGAGCAGTGGAGGCACTCTGGCTCTGAGATGGTTCATTTGGTTTGGAGGTCACCACTTTTCCTACAGTTTATAAGCAACTGCAGGAAACTGCTGCCCAGCAGTGACTCCCAAGGTGGACCCATTTATGGCCTGAAGTCATGAAGAACATGCAGGGATTGTGTCCATAACAGGATTTGTGTACAGGGGATGATGGTCACCATAACATAGGATTTCAGCACACATTGCCCGTGTGAAAGGGTGGATGGATTTATTGTGCCAGAGGACAAGTGACCAGAATTATGTGTCCATAATTTGAACAAGTGCATGTCACCATCAGCCAAGYGTGGAAAGTGAACTGCCTCACAAAGCAATGAAAAACTCGCCTTCAGCAGCACTTGGGTGGGCAAAAGACCAAAAACGAGTGAGGAAATTCAATTGCATAGACAACTCCCATCAGTTACTTCAAGATCAGAGGAACACAGGAAATGCTCTGCTGGGTCAGCAGGATGGGGTATCTCCTCCAGCTAATGGGGCTCCAGGAGCTGCAGGGAAAGACAGCTTGGAGGGGGAGCACACAAGCCTGGCCACTGTTTGCAGTCCAGACACCTCACAGTCTCCCTGGCAGCCACAATCATTGGTAGAGCACATCCATCCCTACCTCCTCTTTCCTTTTGAACTTGCTGGTATTACATCTGTCCCTCTTTCCAGTGGAAGTGAATTCCCTGCTGTGTAAAAAAAACACTTTCTAGTATCCCTTTTACATAGATCCCCTGGTTTTCATGTATCTCCCCTCATTCCAGACCTGTGAGAATTTTCAAACCTCAAAGCAGCTCATAGAATCATAGATCAGTTAAGGTTGGAAAAGACCTCAAAGATCGAGTCCAATTCTTAAACCAAGCACCATCATTTTACCCCTAAACCAAGTCCCCAAGTGCCACATTTTTTGATAATTTCCAGGAATGGTGACTCCACCACTTCTCTGGGATGACAGTTCCAATGCCTGAATATCCTTTCAGTGAAGAATTTTCTCCTAATATCCAACCTAAACCTCCCCTGGTGCAACTTGAGGCCATTCCCTCTTGTCCTATTGCTTGTAAATTGGGAGAAGAGACCAACACCCATCTGTCTCCATCCTTCTTTCAGAGACTTGTAGAGGGTGAAAAGGTCCCCCCCTAAACCTCCTTTTCTCCAGACCACCCTGGAGCCCCCTCAGCCACTTCTCTCAAAACTTCTGCTCTAGTCCTTTCATCCATTCCATTGCCCTTCTCTGGACATGCTCCAGCACCGTTTCCCACCACAGTTCTCCATCTACAATGTTAGTTGAGAATGGTTCAGTTTTTTGTACTAGCAGCTCAGTCATATTTATTTTTGTTGGCTACTCCAAAGGTACAYACGACAGGCTGAAGTTAGCAGTTAAAAATATGTTCAGCTGTTTCTGCTTCCTCAAAAATGTCCACGTCCTCGTTCCCTCCTGTGAGAAAAATCATGTGTTGCGAGAGAGCTGTGCCCAGCATAGTGAATCACCTGCCAAGTGGCCACCACAGCTCACCTTTGCTGCCCTTTGTGACAGGAAGGGGTGCAGGTCCCCCAGGGATGGCTTTGCTGGCTGCCACCTGTGGACCACCTGATTTGAGCCAACAAACAGATTTGGGATTACTGAAGGCGCAGGATTGCTGTGGAGAATTTGTGTTCAGGCCTTGTCCAGCATGAACCCCAAGCCATGAGAAAGCTAGAAAACTTGTAAGGGATGGACAGATTCTGCTGAAGCCCCAGGGGAAGCTGCAGAGAACAGGGACCTGCAGAGTCTTTGCAAGCAGGGGCTGTGCTGTGGAGGGCCAAAAGCACACCTGGAAAGCTCATCACTTGTCCACAGCTCCTGCAGGACTTGGTCAGATGAATTTAAGCACCTCAGCAACTGGCAGTGCTGATAGTGGCCTCAATCATTCAAAGACTTCTGGAAAAAAAAAGAGGCAGAATCCCCTGGAGGACTCTGTTTAGTCCAGTCCAACTCACTGAGCTAGGCTAAACACCTCCTCTTCCAGCCTGTCCCGGAAATATGGATGAACCAGGATCAGACCACTCTATTTTTCACAGACTCTGCATTCCCATTTTCCCTCAGACCCAGCTGTCTGAGCCCTTGCTCCACAGGCACGTTGGATTTCTCACAGAGAGCAGGAGATCCACAGCAGGGGCCCCATGCAGTTGGGACATCTGGGCACCATGCCAGGGCCTCTCTCTGACCCCACACACCAGACAGAGCTTGATTCTCTATTTGCTGACCCACAGCTGGTGGCTGGGGCGAGGGAGCAGAGGATAAACCCAAAAARCCTGATGGGGGGAGAGGCAGACAGCCCAGTGACACACTCATCCCCTCAGTGTGTGTGGTGCTGATTCCCTCAGTGGGAGTGATGGTAATCCAGAGGTGTGCAGAAACACTGTTATTAACTGAATCACAAGGAATCCACCTAAAAGGGGTCTGCTCGCTTTCCTTTATGCTTCTGTACTTTCCTGCACTCAGCTACACATGGAGCATGGGAACTCCTAATCCCAAACCTCCCCTCTACCACCTACCCCCACCTTGAAACAGCTCCCAGAGCAATGAAATGTTCCTGCTGCAGACTTCCAAAGACAACCATAAACACTGGGGATAATTAAAAAGTGAACATCGTGAAAAACACACTGGCAAGGACTCCAGGCTGTGAAGCTGGAAAGCCAGGTAGCTTAAAGAAGTGCCAGACACTCAACTGGTCTCCAAGATCAGCAGATGTTTTCCAACCTAAYGTTGAAAAAACTTACGAACTCAGTTGTGTTTCCTAAATCAGAACCAGAGACGAGAATGTGTGTTGTGTATTGGGACCATATCAAGTACTTTTCCAGCACTGTTAAGATCTGTTATTAAAAAAAAAAAAAATTAAAAAAGGAGGGGTTGGGTGTCGAGTGTCAATAGAAAAAACTAGGCCTGTTTAAAGGATTCTGGATGCTTACCTAAATCATGTTAAGAAAAGGAAAATTCCTTCCCCAAACTGAAAAGACTCAGATGCAATTAASAGGAGATACCATCAGCCCATTTCCAAGTCTGGTATTAAGCTATTCAACAAGAGAACTGCAGAATACCGTGGCTGCAGCTGATACAGTCTTAGYGATATTTAGGTGGTAATTTTATTTTTTTTTTAAACTCAATTATCTGAAAAGAAACCATTCAGAAGCTCACTTTTGAAAGCCAGCCTCCCTCACCCAGCACAAGGCAATCTGCTATAGCTCTGCAATTAAAAACTCATCATCAAAATGCCACTGGTCRTTGGTTTGTCTTTCCACCAGCAGCTCCTTTACAGCCAGAGAGTGCACGGCTGGGGATCCTCTCTGCTGCTCTGCTACACCTTTGAGGAGATTTACAGGGATTTGCACATGTTTTTCTCGCTCAAAGAGAGATTATGTGGCATGATTAAGAGATATTCTAGGAAAGAAACTACTAGCTTCCACAAGACATTCCCTTTGTTTGATRTAACACCCATCAGTTATTAATGGGAAGGCTTTAAGCTGCTGCTTAGCCTTAGTAATGCCATATTTAACAACAAAYATTACTTGTCTCCCCTCTCTGCAGTGGCAGCCTTTGTCCAGTAATTTCTGGATGAATTATTCTAAATCAATGTATAAATTTTTTATACATGTACACATATAGTCACAAGATGCCCTTCCATGTGTAAAGCAATAGAAKAAATATGAGCAGGTGAGGGGAATTACAGCTTTTGCTGTTTCATGGGAGGTGGAAGTGCAAGGACTTTCTGGGTCAYTGAATCCACAGCCTGGTGATGTACTGCAAAACCCTTACAGAAACTAATTTTCCACTCCTTAAAAAGAAAACATGAAAAAAATAACAAGTGATTTTGTAAGCAGGGATGTACTACATTGTAGATTAAAAAAGAAAATCTGCCTCTTAGGAAATGTGCTCCCCCTGTCTCAGAAGCTGCTCCCAGAAATGTTTCATTTTGGGTGGATCTTTCCTTCCTACATTTGCGATTCAAGGAAACCTGAGAAAAAAAACTGCTCTGCCTTTCAGGTGGGTGACAGCAGGGAGGACACACAGGAACCACAAAGGGAAGCTCTGCTCRGCAGACCTTGCCACGGAAGGGACAGGCTCCACACAATCCCCACCAGCCACAGCACCCACTCCGGTTGTTTGTCCACTGCTCTGTGGATGCCAAAGCAGAAGATGAACCTGTAGGAACCAGCTCAACCTGCCCAACACCTCCAGCCTTCCCACCAAGAAGCTCCAAAGCTTCCATTGTGAGTGGAAGGAGTGCCTGTGGAGGGCTCCTTTTTCCTTTGCTGCCACACTCCCCTCCATCCTGTGGGAGAAGCCAAGACAGAGACTGGTGGGTGACCCAGTTGTCACCTTCTGTGACCTTGTCAGAGCTGGGACAGTAGCCTGCCAAAGCTACAGAGGGCACCACGGGCAGCCAGCCCCTGCTCTCCTCCACCCAGCTCAGCTCCCAGAGCACACAGCTCCTGGGGATTCACTTACTGGACATTCCAGGGGGACACCTGTTGTGTCCCACGGATCGATTTGGTTACAGAAAYCAACCATCTGCCCCCGTGTTGTACCAACCAAAGACTGCAAGCACCCAGACAGAGAGGAGGATTAATATTACACTTCCATCTGCTCTGCAACGTGAGCTGCCCATCAGCAACAACCTGAAGATGCCTCTGAGCTCCTAAATCCCACCTTGCCCTCGGAAAAATGCAAAGTTATGGGAAGAACAAGAGGAGCCATGACAAGCCAACTCCCTCAAAGCACAAGTCATATCCACAGCAACATTTTAAACTTGTCCCATTTCCTGCATGGCTAAATAGAGGGAATGTTAACAGGACACATCAGAGACATCTAAGTGGTGACAAAACCAATATAAAAGCATTGACTGGGTCTGTACCAACGTAACAAACTTTAAAAAGTATTAAAACAGACTGTTTATTACAGCATATGATGTGTTATATTAATTTACACAATGATATATATATATATATATATAAAAACAGCCATTGATGATGTACAGTAAATTGGACATCAACAGGAATATTAAAACTACTGATACTCATGCACGTGACATGCATATGGGTTTTTTTTTTCTTTTTCAAAAGCAGTTTTACACAATATAATGAAGTTACTGAGCCTTGGTCAGCTGCTCCAACAGTTTACTCTGGACACCGCCACCATCCACAGCGGGACTCCCAGGAGATCAGAGCAGAGTGCACTCCAGGGAAGGCAACTTAACCTCGGAGACTGATGGAACAGGAGCCCTTTCCTGGTGGGGGAAGGCTGGGGGAGGACAGGAGTGAGTTTCAAGAAGAGAATCAACAAGAGAAGAAAAAAAAAATCAGACCAGAGTACCAGAAGGAAGAAGTTCAAGATGTGGCAACAGCAGCAGCAGAAAGGGACAAGCAAAAACATGAAGAATCACCCTCACTCCCTCCTCTTTATTCCCTAAAAACTTATGACCTTAAGCTGTCGATATCCTGTTTAAGACCCAGAACTGGAAACACTGRGCAAGGAAGATCCATTCCTAGAGACATCAGCCTTTTCTCAAAGCCTTCTGACACCACGTGCTGGAGGCTGTTCACCACTGAAATGGCAGTGTTGTGTTGTTGGGTTTTTTTAAACAAGTGTAACTGTCTTTTATTTCCACGTAAAAGGCACTAGTATCCACCCAAGTTCTGAAGACAAGTGACATAATTTACCTTAAGTTTTAAATATTTGTATAAAAACAAAAAATCTGTGGAAATATGTACAAAAAAAAAAAGCACCTTGCTTCTGAAAGCAGAAGCAGATACATTCCACCAAGTCACCTCGCTAGACGGTGGTCATGAGCTTCAGGGAGCCCGACCGAAAGCGGAGGATCTTCTTCTTGAGGTTATGGGAGGCTTTGATTTTGACAAAGGCCTTGGCCGCATTTTCATGCAGCTCCGGCGCCGTGACCGTTTGGATGGGGAGCGTCTGGACAAACTGGGACCAAATCAGGCCCCCGCTCTCGTCAGAGTCGCTGGTGGTCGTGCTCTCCCCTACGAACTCCACCTCGCTCAGGCTTGACTCGCTGTCTCCAAAGCAGTTCGTGGTGTAGTTGCTCTGCTCGTCCTCGCTCGTGTCCACCACGGTGGAGTGGAACAAGGACTCGCACTCGGCCGAGTACTCCGAGTCGCTGGCCACGTAGGCGTAGGGGCTGACGTAGGGCAGGGGCACCTGCGAGTAGACCCCCACGGCCTCCCGCCGGTTCCTCCTCGCCCTCCGCAGGGCCTCCTCGTAGGAGATCTCCGCCGAGGAYTTCCAGCGGCGGTAGTCGGCCCGCTTGTGTTTGGGCTTGGCCACCACGACCTCGCGGCCGTGGCCGTGGGAGCGGAGGGCGGATCGGTGTAGACCGGTTTGCCGGCCCGGGAGACCCGGCTCCAGCGGCAAACCGCTGCCTCTCTTCCCCCGCGACGAGGGCTTTTTCAGTTTCTTATTTGTATCCAACTCCTCGGGAAAGCGGCACTTCTTGCCGGCCGGTTTGGCCTTCTCCCTCAAGGTCTGCGAGCTGTTCTCCACCCCGTTGGCAAGGTGGGACCGGTGTTTCAAGGCGGAGCTTTTCAAGATCTTGACGTTGCGGGTGCCTTTGTGCAGCTTCATGCTTTGCTGCTGGGCCGGGATGTACTGGGCGTTCACCAGCAGCCCGTCATCCAGGCTCTGCGAGGAGGAGCCCTCGCTTTTGAAATCCAGCGCGGGCCTCTCCTCGACGGCCGGCGATGAGGAGCGAGCCGCCTGCAAGCTGCTCTTCAAGAGGATCTTTTTGGGCGGCTGGCTGACCCTGTTCTCCGGCTGCAGCAGCACCGGCTTCCCCGGAGTGTCTTTGGGAGGCGCAGCGAAGAGCTGGCCGTTCTCCTTGGGGACGTCCCCTGCTGTGGCCGTGGCGCTGCGCCCCAGCTCCGGCGGCGCCGCTTTGGCCACGCTGCCCCGCGGCAGGTGCTTGCTCTGGAGTTCCGTTGTTGTTCCGGGTGGGAATGCTGCCGGCAAAGGGGCTTTCCTGCTCTCCATCTGCTCCCCAGCCGGCTCCCTCGGCCTCTGCTTCAACGGRGAGGGAGCCGTGTGGTCCGGAGCGGGGGTCCCACCAGGAGGCAAACACACCTGCTTGGAGCTCTTCAGGTTGACCACGTTGCCGTGGGCCACCATGGCTGCCGGCTGCCGCACGCACATGCTGCCGTGCCTCAAGATCCCTTTGGTGGGGTCGGYGTTGAGACTCGTGCGGGGTTTGTTAGTCCTCACCGCGTGAGTCTTTTTCTGAACCAGGCTGAGGATGTAGCTGTCTATCCTCTTGCTGCTGGCAGAAGGGCACGGCACCGGCCAGGAGCTCTGCGGGGGGAAGGCGCCGGCGGATTGTCCCGAGTCCGTTTCGGATGGGGTGCAAACGTCACTCATGTCGCAAGCCAGCCTCTCCTCTTCTCGCTGGGGGTTCTCGGTCACAGGGAGGAGGAACATGGGGCTCTGCACAGCCACGGCGTGGAGAGGGCTGGGGTAGCGGTAGATGTCGTTCCCGTTTTTAGACACCAGATCGCACTGGTACTTGGGGTGTACATCTGCAACGACATCGAGGGAATTTGAGTGCGGTGTGGACAAAGAGCGACAGACAGAGCCTGCGGGCTGCTCCTCACGCTGGCCTTCCTTATTATAGTCCATCCAGCCTATGAGATCTGAAAGGCATTTTAGAAGAGTTTAGAGAGCCTGCCAGGGACAGCTGCGCTACGTTTTTAATGTGCTGCCAAGGACGCCGGTCCATCTACGCACACGATGCAAAGCTTTAACTACAGCAGCAGCGATTTTGCAACCAGGGGTGCTGTTCAAGCAATTTAAAAAGCAGCACTATCCTTCTGTGGGTCTCTATAACTGCACTGATGTGGGATTTACCCCACTTATCACCACACAGGTAAAACAATTTAAGTCTCAGCCCTAATGAGAACATTACACTGGTTTCAAATCTGTGCCCAGGTTGTTAAGAGCTCCCTATCATTCTTTCAAGCCACCCAGAAGTCTGCAAGGGTCTCTTATATGTTACATGAACACCTGTGAAACTCTCTGCAGGCCTCAGCATATATGACTTTTATATTTTACTTTGCCCATTCCAAAGAGATTGGATCCAAATCCAAACATAAAAAATACAGACAGAAGAATAATTAATTCTTGTAGCTTATTGACAAATTTCSAGATGCTTTCAAGCATATCCCGGGTCAGGAAAAAAATCCAGATTTATTTTTATCATTCTTTTTATTATTGTTGCTATTCTATTATAATATTTATGGCAATGCTAATAACAACAGGTGCTCCTTTTGAGTGGTAAGGGGTTAAAAAATGGGAAACAGGCTGATGTTTTCACACAAGTACAAGAAGTGCAGGTCAATCCTAGCCTTGGCTCTGCAAAGAGAGCTCTGCCTGARAAATCCAGTGCGTTTCAAGATGCATGAGTCAGATTTAATGGCTAAAGCGCTTACTAGGGAGGTAAGYGACCTTAAGAGCAGGGCTTCCACCCAAGCACCTAAGATTATTATTGTTTTCTTAAGMTTAATTGTCCYTGTCTTCTTGGGTAGGGGTACAATCTGAATGAGCCTCTGCCAGTCCTGTTTTCTACCCTTGGGCTGGAAACTTCAGCCAGGGTACTCCRATTTGAATGCTCAGTGCTTGTCACTTATCTAAGGCTTATTTCAAAGAGGTCTCATGGGATTTGATGAAATTTCCTGATAGAGATGATGTTCCTRTGTGAGCAGAAGAGGAAGAACAGGGGATTAAAAGCACAAACTTCCTCCAGATGACCTCACAGTTTTCCCATATTTCCTAAATTCTGCAATGGTTTCAAGGAACGCTGACAAAAAGACATTTTTGAAACCTGTCAGTTTGTGGAATTTCATCCTTCAAGTGAGATTGTATGAATAATGAGAGGTTTCGGTTTTTGTGGTCTATACAGAAAAAAGCAGCGATGCAATCAGCTGGAATTCCCTGTGTGATATTTTTTTCAGTGTATGGCACATGAAGATCACATGTACCTTACAACAGGGAGCATTAAATTACCTCAAGCTGCTCACAGGATAACTTAGAGGATTTATCAGCATCTCAGAATTAATGTATCCCAGGCTGTWTTTTCCCAGTTCAGAAACAGAAGAGCATGAATTATTCTGTCCTTGATTCACAACAAATCACTACAAGTTAACCTTAAAGAGCAGAATGAAAATTGGAAATACTGGGATTGGAGTCATTCTCCACAGCCCAGAAAAAGCTAAAGCTTTTGAAAATGTCTGCAGCCAATAAATAACATTTGATCACMACAGTCCTACTGAAGTGTCTTTTCTGGAGCACAGAGGGGGCTTTCCTATTGAACCATCCCACAAATCAAGGCTTGCACCTTCTAATTGGTGTCCAAGGAAAGCCCACAGCTCTGTGCCAAAGAGACAAAAAATCTGCCTGCTCATGATGTCTGTTTGTAAGGACAGGGCACGCCTCACCATGCTCACCTGGGGGTTGAAGACCATCAGAATTGACAAAATGACTGCCAAAAAATAGTCTGACTTGTTCCCTGACCCCCTAAAACCTGTAGCTAGCTCCTTACTCTGTGACTTTAATGAGGGTGTGGCTAAGAGCTATCGTTAATTATTGCCATTTACTAAAAATGCTTTTCTAAAGGAAACCGGGAGAAATCAGCTGACTGMTGTGTTTCTGTGTGCAGGTACCACTGCCCTCTGCTGGGTAGAGCAGCTGTCATACCTTCACATGCCATTTTCATGTGTTTAGAGTGGCACATTCAYGTGTCAGGCTGGACCAGGGGAGGGCAAAAATCCTTCCTCGTGACCAATGTACGTGAGAGGCACTGGGATCTTTACAATATGGCACATGAAAGGGAGAAGGGTTAATCCAACCCAGCTACTCCTGAGGCAGTATTTCCAAAGCCAAAGCCACCTCCTGGAGTATGATGCATTCGACCTGCTTTTACTATACCTGCAGATTTAGGGCGTCCATCTGAGATATTCAGTGTTGCCTCCAAAGGGCTGCAAAAGCAAGTGCTAGAATGGCAACTGGATAAACACTCACTGAAGACTGAGTTAGATGAATTGGAAAGCGATCCAGAAGCTCCATCACTCAGCTCATAAAACCCTATAAAAATAAAGAGTTTGGATTTGCATTAGTTATGTCTACACAAAGTTACTATTTGTGTCCCTAGAAGGGCAGTCATACTGGTGTTTGACTTGGCTTACTCTGACACAAGCAGTTATGGGATTTCATTCAGTCACCCCAAAAGCAGCCCACAATTTAGTAATATCCTTATTGCCATGAAGGATTTTGTTTAAAAGTAAAGCACTTAAAACAGCAGAACTTAGCAGATGGAAGTTTTTTTAACTTTACAAGAGCTGGGGGTTTAACCATTACAGGAATTTTCAGATTTTAGCAACAAGGATCCAGGCTGTGTTTGGCAGCCCACACATTTAATAGTGTGTTATACTTCCAAGACAAGACTSTCCAACTATTACTTAACTACAAAARTGTTGRGCCCAATGCTATCCATTACTTTCCTCAAAGTTCTGGAGATAAACATAATATTTGCGGATATCAGGAAAGAAGGAAAATGGTGAATAATGTGCAGGCACATCAAATTTAATTTCCTGGTAAACCGGGACTACTCAAGGAAAAATGACACACCAGAACCAAAATCTAAATTGTTCATTTAGGAATAAGGAATGCAGAGCATGCCTACAGAATGGGGATGCATCCTGAAAAACAATAATCCTGGAAAGGGCTTAGTCAGCGTGGAAAAGCAGCTCAATCAAGCTTAATGATATGGCAAAAAAAAAATCTAATGAGATTGTTGGATGTACAAAGAGACTAATGAATAGCAGCAGGGAAATGACTTCAGCAGTCTAACATGGCCCTGGTAAGAAACATTGGAATGGTGAGCCCAGTCCTTGAATCCAGCACTCTTAAAACAAAGCTAAAAAATTGGAAAGAGGCCACCAAGCTATTTAGAAACTTGGAAAAATGCCTTACAATGAATGACTTCAAGAACTTGACCTGTTTAGCTCATCAAATAAAAGCCAGGAATTAYACTGTATAGTACCTCCAAGAGGAGGAAAAGCTGGGTATTAAAAAAAACCTTTCTTTAGGGGAGAAAAGGATATAAAAATACCAGTGCTGGAGCAAGACAGAATCAGACTAGAAATCAGCAATGGCTTAACAACTGCCAGTTGGAGGATTTTCCATTTTTTAGTGTGTCTTCAGGACAAGTGTAGAGGCCTCTAGGAAAGGCTCCTCATMGTTAAATTCCACTTACTGGCTTCAACACAGAATGAGATGAAATTCAGTATATGGGGGATGCAGTGGTTTGATTCAATGTTTCTTTTTGGCTGTATGATCACTTTTGRTATCTTCCTCCTGATGGTGGGGCTTCTTTTGACCATTTTTCCTTCAGCCTCCTTCCTAACATACAGGACAATTAGAACTTTTTGAACTAATGTGAGGGTGGCCTTGGARAAACAAATGCCCCAAACACTAAAAATCTAATTAARCTCAAAATGTTCCTCTGAATASGTTGTCTGCAAACAGCAGCCGTTCSAGTGATGGGTAAACTCTGTTAGCAGGAATTAATGATCAGAGTGTGAACTGTTGCAGTACTGAAAAATCCAGCACAAAAATCTACAGCCAGTTTTATTCCAGGTACCAAGGGAGGCTGAATTTCTGCTGAGCWCTGCCCTTACCTGAACTTGGACGGCTGTCTGTCTCCAGGTGCTCATCTGTCGTTTTTTCCACGTCCAGGCGGAGATCACTTATTTGCTTATCCAGCTCTTGTAACTGATTTAACAACCCGGCATCCCTCCTCCTCAGGCAGTTCTGCAAAAGAAGAGGACAAAGAACATCAGCTCCTTCCGTGGGGAAGATGTGAAAGGGTACCAAAGACCAACAGACTGCTCTGTCTAAGCCTTGTGAAATACCTCGTCGATATTCATTCATATAAAAACCGAACAAAGCCCTGACATTTTAGATGGATGCTCTGGATAAATACTTAAGTGAAGAATTATRCAGGCACTTCATCCCAGCCTGTTCCAGCCAGTTTTGCATGAGGAGCATGTTCCACAATCCTGGAAGCCCAACGTGCTGTGCTGACCACAGCTGTAAGAACAAAGCTGGATTGTGTGAGACGGCCAGAGCAGACCTGGGCACGTGGAAAGGGCAAGGACGGCCGTGCCAGCCTAACAGGGCACGTTCCCCACCACACTGGTGTTAGTCAAAGATCACATCTGCTCGTACAATGGCACCAAACAGCTCTGCCARCAAGTGCCTGTGGTGTGGGAACCGCCTTGTTCTGCTGCACGTTATGAGCTTAGAGTCTGCCATCCAGAGAGCAAGATTCCCAGGGCTGGGATCACAGCCCTTTTATTAGTTTTGCAGAGCAGCAGGAAGGAAGAGTAATTCTTCCTCTTCTCCCATTATAATCGTATGAAATTGCAGCGAGATGAATTTTAAGGCTATTTATGAAGGTAATTTGATGGCATAAAAGAAGCAATAAGAAATTATTTTGCAAGGCACTCATTAACCCACGGTCAACACAATCAGTTTCCCCCTGTGTATTATAATGTTGCTTATCCATCATCTGTTCAGCTTCATATCCTTTAATTGCTCTGGCTTTGGGGAGAGTGGAGGAGGCAGGAGAAAGGTTCAGGTACTTTTGTTTCTTTGAGTGCATCATTTGCTCGGCACCCAGGGGTGCTCTGAGAAGTTCATTGCAATGAGTTTTGATGCTCACAGATGGAYTAGTGCTCAACCCATTAAACCCAAGGCAATCTTTGCTGTGCAATGGAACCAGTCATAGAATCATAGAATGGTTTGGGCTCGAAGGAACCCAAAAGATCATGTCATTCCAATTTCTTTGGGAAATGGGCAGGAACATCTTCCACTAGACCAGGTTGCTCAGAGCCCTGTCCAGCCTATCCTTGGGCAAAKGGAGACCAAAGGGTAAATGCAGGGCAAGCACTGGTGCTTTTAAGAGGTGTTTAAGACAATCCTCTGGAGAACCACAGGGGCGATCCCAAGTCTCCCCCATCCCTGCGGGAGCCCCGGGGCTGGCTGGCAGCCAGGCTGGCGGAGGTGATGGGTTCAAGGGATGACTTCGCTGCGCCACCTACTGCCACCAGCGCCCCCTCCCCCAGCCAGCACCGCATCTGGTTCCAATCTGCAATGTCAAGTGCACAAATTAAAGTGCTACCACAAATCCCCGGCTTTTTCTGGTCTTTTTTTTTTTTTTTTTTTTTTTTTTTTTTTTTTTTTTTTTTTTTTTTTTTTTTTTTTTTTTTGAGTAATGATTCCCTGGTCCTTCACTATGGCTCTCGGCCGGCGGCCAGCCCCTTCTCAGCAGAAAAAAAATCATTAATTTTTATCTTTTAAAGAGGGGAATAACCCTAACTTAACTAAACCAAACGGCTAATAAAAAAAAAAAATATGAAAAACGGGGGGTGGAGAAAAGAAAAAAATCAGGGAAATAAATCACGCAATCCAACTTCTCCCTGGGTGAAAGCAAATGCTGAGCCGCGCACAAAGAGCGCCAGGCACAGCTGTACGCTATTTTCATTGAAAAATGATCTGCCGCTTCATGCCGCCCTCCATCTCTTCCCCCAGCAGCTCCAGAACGCGTCCTCCAACAAAAGCATCCCTTCCTTACGGGCCCGATCCTGCCGGTGCCCGAGCGCCCGATGCTTCTTTCGGGGCTGGGACCCAGGAGCTGGCTCCCAACTTCCATTCATGGCAACGGCGGCGCCTCTCTTGCCATGAATGGAAGTGGCACCGCCGGCCTGGCTYCGGGACCCGACGGCAACCGTGCGGCCACCGGCACAACGCCGAGCTGTCACCGGCACAACGCCTCACCTGAGCGCCGTGCCGGGGTGACAGCGGGGCGGGGGCGCTCCCCGAGGGGCTCCTTTCTCCTCCCTCCGCGGGCACGACCCGCGGCTCACACACCGACACGGGGGGAGCGAGCGGGCCCGCATCCCCGGCGCTCCCCGCCCGCATCCCCGGCGCTCCCCGCCCGCATCCCCGGCGCTCCCCGCCCGCATCCCCGGCGCTCCCCGCCCGCA